GTGGGAGGCTATTGCAGCCCCAACACAAAATTAATTGTTGTGACATTAACGGGGCCCAATGAAATAAGAGGTTTTGAATGAGTTGCGAGGCTAATGGTTCCATGAAGTTGTGAACTGGACTACATCTCATGATTTGAAAGACATCCCAGGAAATCCTTCAGTTGGTTGAGATCCAATCTTGAGACAACAACAACAACTTTAGGGGAAACAAAAGGCCAACTAAGCATTCTTGTCACTAGCTGACGTGTAATTTTAATAGACATCCAAGAATAACATTAATTTTATTTAAAACTAAGAAAGCAGTACCAACAATGTTGTGTTACTCTTAAATGCCCTTAAATTATTTGAGAGTTTTCAGAAGGGTGAGCGGATACCCAGTATGTGACACGATCTTCACAAAGGAGTCATCAATGTTACTTTCTGTGACTTTCAAAAACATTAAGTACTTTCATTGCATTTCCATTCTGCGCGTACAACCACTCTCAAAGAATTATGGTGTATCTTGAGTATGATCGTGTATGGAAAATCAGGTTAACAACACAAAATACTGAAGTTTGAGAAAACAACAGTACAGCAACATGGTTCTTCATGGCTTTCGTGTCTTGACAGGTGTACTAAGTATCATGTTCACAGGAAAGAGGACCACATGGCCATTTTTATTGTACAATTTCTTTGTTTGCCTATTCTCGTAATAATCTATGCTTTCTTCAGTTTGCGAGTCTTTTCCTTCAAGAAAACCCTCATGAAAAACGTTTTTGATATGCTGTCTGGTATATTAAATGTATTCTATGGTCATGTTAGCTTTTTGCCCTAAAATAGAATACTTAACATCTCTAAATAATGATTTGAAGAGCTCTTATCAGCCCACCACTCCCGAGCAAAGCAGCACTAGCAGACGTCTTAGGTTTAATTATTATGTAATGTTTCATGATGCCCAGTAAAACAATGGGTAATAAAAATGCCTGTATCTGACGATTCCCTGGTTTAAATGCAAAGCTTTCAAGATCACACATAAATTAGACAAAAAAACAGCAAGGGAGAGTGTAAATTAATATATAAATAAATACCCCTTAAAATCGGTACCTTTTCATCACATCAGACACCTTAAAACTACTGAAGAGCATTTTCAAAGTCTAGCTTGCATCAGTACAGAGACAATGTTTTCTGACCAATTTCATAAAACTGAGCTGTCAACCAAATTAGAATGGGTGGCCAAAAATAAATATTAAGTATTCAAATTTGTGGTCAGCAAAAATTAATAGTGTACTAACAGATAAGAAATAGGTCAATACGAGAAAAGTTATCAAACTGTTACAGCCATTTGGCATAGATTATTGTGAGTCCCATGGTTGAAATTTTGGAATATGGCATAATGACTGGATAAAATGTAGAACAAGGTCACATGCCTTTCTATTCAGGTATTTTACCAGGATGTACTAGCTAGAGTACTTAATTATAATAGATTATAATTATTATCCAATTTAACCCTGCAAAACTAGGGATAGAATCCTCAATCCTGGCAACAAAATGTACAACCTCAAGGCTACTAGACCCAATATTGTAATGTTTTATAGTTTGATTGATGATCTAAGTTGATCAAAGTGGGGGCCAGGTCTGCATGTCCTTCTAGGAGATGTCAGTTTACGGAGTCTAAGAAAATAGCTGCATAAACAATAGTGAGTTTATGCAACAGGAGGGTAGGAAGAAGACAACGGCAAAACGCTTGTGTGTGACAAATGTGATAGGCCTATTACTTGCGTGTTTGTTGGGATCTTCACCTAACAATGTTTTTTTTTGTCTTTTTCAAAACAATCTGTTTAAAGGAGAGTGAATTTTGGTGAAAAGTTATTTCAAACAAAATTATTGTTATGCTTGTCACACAAGGTTTACTGTCTCCTTTCCTCTCACGTTGTGTTGGGTAAGTTCACAAACATCAGGGACCACCTCTGGCTGCTTGATTTAACAAGGAGTCTGTGTCTGAGAGATGATAGTTAACCCCTTCGAGTCCTAGAAGTAGTGACACCAGTTTTCGCACAACAATATCAATACATAATCAAGACATTAGATAATAAGAATTCAAGAAGAGAACACCAAAGGGAAAATGCTTTGTTTTTTATAATCAAATTCTCACAACTACCATTGGTTACACCTAAGCATATACACGTAAAGAAAAAACATGTTCTAATTGGATACAAAGGTGACATGTTTTGCTGCCAAACATTCGAAGTTTGGAGTAGGCAGCTGTTATCGACTTTTTGTTTTTGCTCAACAAAATATTCATTGCAAGAACTTTTAGACGTTAAGGCAAGTGTGCTGTTTCCGAGCAAGAAATATGCCTGAAAGTTGAGAAAAAAAGAAATATGAACGGAATGCGGTGATCAAAAACATACATTAAAAACTTACCTTTGGTGTAACAGTTTGCTTTAACAGCTATCAAACTTCAAATGTTTGGTGGCAAAACACGTCATGTCTTGCACCCAATTAAAACATGTTTTTTTGTCTCGTGTCCACTCTTAGATGCAACCAAAGGTAATTTTTAAGGAAAAGTACAGAGATAAGTCTGGAGAATTTGTATGAGGATCTTGAGGCTTAAGAGTTAACGAAGAGAGAGCCGACCTTACAATAACACACCACACAAAATACAAATTAATAACTTATAATTTGTATTTTAGGTGGGGAATTGAAGGTTTAAACCACCCATGTTATTGGTAACTTTAATGATAACTTTAAGCAGATGGAAAAGTTGAAAAGTTACACAATCTCTCTGACAATGCTTGCTCTTATAGCCTAATGAAAACTTTGCTTGAATAAAATTAATTGAACACTAAAAACTGATTGCTATGCAACTATTATACTATGACTTTAACAAACACTGTTGAAACGATGTTTAACACTGGAAAGTGGTGAAAATTAACTTTTGCAGAAAAAAAATCATTTCAATGGATTCTCATTTTATCACTGGGCTGTTAGATTATTTAGTTTCTGTAATAATTATTTTTTACCACTTTCTCACTACTTGTTATGTTTTACGCACTTCACAGAATATTACCAATGTTGTACACAGAATCAAGGGCTTCATTTGAACCAGATACATTGGGTCGTACATTGTTACTATCCATCCCTCAACTTGTTGCATTGAGGCAAAAATTATTCTTTCTTTACTTGAATTTCCCTTCCTTCATCACTACCATTCACATCAGAGTTGACAGACATTTGAGGTTTCATATTTCCTACATGAAACAAGATAAAAAGTCAATATTAATGGTGAACTTAGGAAATGAAAGTTCACCAATGAAAACAAAAACATTTCAATCAAGGTTACACCTAACTCTTGGGTTTCAAAGAGAAATTGAAAAAGCTTGCCATTTTTAATATCTGCTTCTTACTTTTTAGCTTCTAAGTGCATGTTTATGACTATTCACACAAGATGCTTTAATAGTCACTCAATTGTCCAGTAACTACAGTGTATGCAGGGCAGGAAAAAACCCAGGTTCGATTGCCTGGGGCAAGTAAGTTTTGATCTTGGGCAAGCAAAAAGCCCAGTGGGCAAGTGAAATAAGCCTCAGTGGTCCTGTGAGTCTGTTTGAAAGTGTTAGCTTGGTAGATGATTTCCAGACAGAAACTGTTTCAAAACTGAAAACTGCAAGATGATTGAGGCAGTTAGTTTACTCTATTCTTTTTAATAATAATAATAATAATAATAATAATAATAATAATAATAATAATAATAATAATAATAATAATCTTCATACAGGGAGCTCACTTCACATAGAGTGATATTCAGTGAGGCCCTGTAAAACAATAGAAAAATAAATGATCTAAGATAAATAAATATGAATGGTAATAAAAAAGTAAAAAGTTAAGACCTAAGAACTTAACTAATATAAGCTACAGGTTAAAAAAATGTTAAAATGTCAGATAGATTAAAATATTAAAAGCCATAAAATATCTAAAATATACAGCTTTTAATGCTCTGTTTAAAAAGAAGAGAGTTAATTTCTTTAAAAGATGCATCTAAAAAGAGCACTGAATCATCAAATTAAAATAAACCAAACTGAATCTGATTTTTGAGATTTTAAATTCAAATTTTGTTCTAAACCTGGGTTACCTTAACCCAGCTTTGAACAACTCGGCCCTGGGCCCAGTTGTTCGAACGCCGGTTAGTGCTAACCTGGGGTTTAACCCGGGTTTATTTTTATTTTTATCAAAAGCAGTCTCTCGGATAATTTTCTCTCTTCTTTTTAGAGTATCCAATCATCAAATTCTACGCAAAGTGAATTTAACTGAATTGGCTTTTTAAGCTGCCATAACTGAGTTCAAATTATGCATTAACCCGGGGTTATCTTAACCTAGCTTAGAACAACCCGGCCCTGGTCTTTTGAAATCAGGTTTACAAAGAAAACAAGATTAATTTGGCCATTATCCATTAATTTTACAGACCATTATGAGCTCTTTGAGGATGCAACGTACCTGGATTTTCTTCGAGAGATTTTACTGCACTTGACCGATCCAAACCAGATTGAAGCAGTGCCTTTAACGCATTATTTGCTGCCTCCTCCCTGGAAGCATCTACAGTTAACCCAGAACCATAACATGTAAGAGGTGGAAGGGAGGTCACTGTGACTAGAGTCAGATATTCTCTCTCCTGGAAAGTGCAAAGAATAAGGAACAGATATACACCTGTAACAAGAACCCTGGGGACAAGGTTTTGTATTGTTTTGCTAGAGCTGTAGAAAATGGCAGTAAAAATCTCACAAGCTTTGTGAAGACAAAATAGCCAAACTACTGCCTAAAAACATAGCAAGGATGGCAAAAATACAACTTCATGGACGACTATGATAAAGAATATCTGCCAAACTACACATCCCTTTTTATCCTGAATTTGCCAAGGAACATGCAAATAAAGAAGGGAACTTAACATTGAACAAGATAAGCATATTTTAGCATAGTTTTAAAACTGTGAATAGTTCATTATTATTCATTCAAAATAGTACTCTGGAAGGGTGTCATCTGTCAAGGCCAATAACAAACTCCTTGGTCTGTATAATTCTTCAGATCATACTCGGCCTCATCCAAAACTACTGCTAATTAGCATTTTAGTACTTAGTCAAACATTAAGTCACAAGAGAGAGAGAGAGAGAAAAAGAAGATAAATAAAAGATCAGCTGACTGTAAAAGTTGCACAAGTAACATAGGAAATGAAAGAAGGAGAACAAAGTGGAGAATATGCATGTAGAAGCATGCAGGTTTAAACTTTGTATTCGGAGACGTGATCTAAGCGTGATGGTAGAAGATGATAATTGAATGAACTGCATTCTTTGCAACTCATAACAGAATGAAATTTTCCAGACTGGATTTCTATTTTAGGCACTTTTTTTAAATCTTAAGTAACTAGGCTTTTAGTACCGAATAGGCTCTTGATCATTTACTAGTTAATAGGTTTTCTTAATTATATCATTAAGTGTCCCCAATTAGTAGAGGGGTATTACCCTCGGCTAGCTACTAAGACACGTTAACAAAGTTTTGATGTCAGATGATGATTGATGAGAAGTTTAAGGCTAAGGTTATTAAACTAACCTTAGGGTAGTCAGTGAATTGTACTCTTAATCCTTCTACTTCAGCTAGATGCAGCAGCTTCTGGACAGACGTTAACATAGCAGGCGCTGTCTTGACAACAGGAGCGCCTGGCGCACGGTTTAGCCCTCCCTGTAATGCGGGCTCCTGAAAAACAAAGATCATGTAACTCAAGGAGGTAATTTTTATTCTCTGGGAAAATAACCTTGTAATACTCTAAGAAATCACCTTGAAGAGGAAAAAATGGGTAACACACTGACACAAAATTGCCACCACACACTGCCAATGTTTAAACGGTATTTGCATGGCAGGCAACTTAAGGTAGGATTTTTGGGGGTAATTTAATGAGCAATTCCAAACAGCCACATAAACTAGAAGTGATTTCATGAAGAATTACAGTTGCAAAATTGCCTATTCGAATATTCAGTGTGATTCATTTGCTAGTAGCCAAAGCTCATCGTGCAGCTCTTGACAGGTAAGTTTAACTTGAAAGAATTATTCTTTGGTAACCACTGCATAAATATTAGAACATCACTTCAAAATCATCCTAAAATTATTTTTCACACCCAACTCATCTGCTATAGATTATAAACAATTTTATCCCTTGCATCTCTTTATGACCTGGTTAGTACCAGAAGAAAGTGAGCATTACGGTGTAAGCAATTGAACATCACCTACGGTTAAGCAAAATTTGCAAGAGTAACAGTGACATCTCAACCAATCTCTAAACAAAATCTCAACATGCCATTTTTCTCCTGCCTGAAAACTATATTTGCACCTTCCTACAAGCCACAAGATTATTCAGTAAAATCTTACTGGCTCACATTTATAGCTCGATGCACCATAACTACGCTGTTGACAGGTTAGCACCTGAGGGGTGGCAGACGACTTGTAAAGTAAATGTATAAGGAGTACCTTCTGCTCCTCCATCAAATTTTGTGCAAAAGAATAATAAGAATGCCTCCAGCGTTCAAAGTCGTGTCCAATAGTCCAGGGCTACTGGATTTTGCCATCGGGCTAGCGATTCTTGTTCTTAACTTGCCCGACGGGCGAGTGCTGTTTTTTGGGGAAATTCAAATTACAGAAGGATTGTGCTCAATCCTGCTGATCAAAAATGGTTTGGGGGGTGGTTGAAATAACTTGTGGGCTAGTACATGCTAGCTACAGCTTGCCCGAATGGCAGGCTGTAAAACTGACTTTCTTTGCACCATGCTGACCACAGATTTATTTACCTGAGGTTCATGCTTCACTTGTGCAATGGGAGCAACTACTGCATTCATCATGTCCGATCGAGTCTGTTTGGCTAGTTCAGGGACCATAGGCAGCAGACCTGGTTTCAGTTGACGGCCTAGGATGGTGACATGATGGCTGCCAGGTTCTGTACCATTGAATGAGCCTTTCTCGTCACCATTAGTTTTCTCTGCACTTGACGTTTTGTCTCCCTGCGGAGAAAAGGATGGCATAAGGGCATTTAGAAGAGAATATCAACTTTGGTTAAAAGAACCGAATCAGTGACTACATCCTTTAAAATCAGTCTATTGACATGCATGGTGCTTTTTTTCAAATTATGCTCAAAAGTCACATCCCTACCTTGAGTAAGAAAGCTACAATAATATTATTTTATAAACTTAAAGTTATTTACAGGCCCAGAGACAAAAATAATTAATTTTCAACCCTCATTTTCAAAATAGGGCCAAGTAAAAAACCTTTCAAGAGACAAAAAGGTTTATTTGCTTACTAGAAAGAAAAATTTTGTATGAAAGTTTTTGCCCAAAGTCCTGTGTAGAGAAAGTCAAAAATAGCCTTTTCCCTCTAAGGGACTCTTGACCTAATGACACATTCTCTCTGTTTCAAAAAACAATACAAATATAATGATTTGTGAGAAGAGACTACCAATGATCACAGGACACTTAAAGCTTTTCGCCAGGCACTAGTTCAATATATAGAGGGCTCTGTTCATTGGAGTTAAAAAAGGCCTTCACAACCCAAGAACCATCAGCATGAAATTTCTCCTTACATCATAAGAATAAGAACAAGATCGCATAAGATGAATTAAATTCATACTTACACAACATCTCTTCACTGTTTCTATTGGAAATGTGTGTAGAAAACAACTAAGAATTCAAATTTTGAAAACTAGGTTTTAAAAGGGTTAAGATAGGTTACCTGAGCACTAGCTGACTTTCCCTCACTGGAACGAAAGCCTATCAACTGCAGCATAGCTTCAGAAGCTTTCTTCTTGGCCTCCTTCTTATTTGGGCCAGCTCCTGTTGCCTTATGTTGCCCCACAGTCACTTGCATGGTGAATTCTCGCTGATTTGCATTCACTTTCTCGTGAAGAAGCTCATAAACTGGTGGTTGCTCGTGTCTGCGCTGAAGAATCTGTCCAAGGATGCTAACAGGATTCATAGACGGGTCTATTTCCCCCTTTGCCTGCTTGTCCTTGGAAATACGTGGACNTCACATCCCTACCTTGAGCAAGAAAGCTACAATAATATTATTTTATAAACTTAAAGTTATTTACAGGCCCAGAGACAAAAATAATTAATTTTCAACCCTCATTTTCAAAATAGGGCCAAGTAAAAAACCTTTCAAGAGACAAAAAGGTTTATTTGCTTACTAGAAAGAAAAATTTTGTATGAAAGTTTTTGCCCAAAGTCCTGTGTAGAGAAAGTAAAAAATAGCCTATTCCCTCTAAGGGACTCTTGACCTAACGTCACATTCTCTCTGTTTCAAAAAACAATACAAATATAATGATTTGTGAGAAGAGACTACCAATGATCACAGGACACTTAAAGCTTTTCGCCAGGCACTAGTTCAATATATAGAGGGCTCTGTTCATTGGAGTTAAAAAAGGCCTTCACAACCCAAGAACCATCAGCATGAAATTTCTCCTTACATCATAAGAATAAGAACAAGATCGCATAAGATGAATTAAATTCATACTTACACAACATCTCTTCACTGTTTCTATTGGAAATGTGTGTAGAAAACAACTAAGAATTCAAATTTTGAAAACTAGGTTTTAAAAGGGTTAAGATAGGTTACCTGAGCACTAGCTGACTTTCCCTCACTGGAACGAAAGCCTATCAACTGCAGCATAGCTTCAGAAGCTTTCTTCTTGGCCTCCTTCTTATTTGGGCCAGCTCCTGTTGCCTTATGTTGCCCCACAGTCACTTGCATGGTGAATTCTCGCTGATTTGCATTCACTTTCTCGTGAAGAAGCTCATAAACTGGTGGTTGCTCGTGTCTGCGCTGAAGAATCTGTCCAAGGATGCTAACAGGATTCATAGACGGGTCTATTTCCCCCTTTGCCTGCTTGTCCTTGGAAATACGTGGACCACGGCGCACAAACCGGCCGGCATTCCTGTAGCTTGTCTCTTGTGCTGGTAGCTCTGGAAGCTTTTTCAGTTCTTCCAGCATTTTCTTTGCTGCCTCTTGCTTGGCATCTTTCTTTTTACAGCCTTCTCCTGTAGTGACAAATTCACCAACAGTGGCACTCACCACAAAGCGTTTCATGTGGGGAGGACCACTGCTCTTGACATCTTCAAACCCTACCTGGAGTTTCCGTTTAGCTGCTATTTCATATACTTTACTTATCTCTGATTTCATCTCAGTTGTACTGCCTTTGGTCACATCCTCAGACTGTGATGCATTTCCTTCACCATTTTGAACATTAGCTGGCTCATCTGCCTTCATGGTCGAGTTTTTCTTCTCTCCCGCAGCAGCCAGCTCTTCTTGCAAAACTTTCACAGCCTTTGCCGCAGCACTTTTGCGTGCAGACTGCTTGTCACGCCCTTCACCATAAAATTCCTGATCTCCAACCACCAGCTTAACACAGCTGATTCTTGGTACACGTGGCGGGGCAGAACGGGGGTGATAGCCATTTTGGATGTAAGGGGGAAAATGCTGCTCCTGGCCAGGATGGGACATCCCATAGTGGGTTCGAGCATGCAGTGGCCCTCTGTGATGAACCCCGGGTATCTGGTGTTGCATCTGCAGGTTTTGGTAACCCACATTAACAGGTCGTTGGTATGATGGAATCTTGGGTTGTAAATCATGGTACTGAGTCAGCTTGCCAAGTTTCATAGCCAGCACGTTCAGCACAACAGTGGAGGTTACATTCATTTGTGGAATAAGAGGCTTCTCGACTTCTGGCTTGCACAGACCACACTTTTCCAATCCAACAGTAGCAGCTGCATGTCGAGCACTTCTGATGCTTGTTCCCTGGCCATCCCACTTACCCACGTCGCCCAAAGTCAGTTGAACGGTGAACGTTCGCTTGTGAGCCGGTCCACTCTCTTCGATGACTTTGTACTCGGGGTTAAGTTTGTTCGCTTTCGCAAGCTCGTTCATCAGGCTAACCGGCGTTTTCTGTGCCATTACGAAGGTTCCAGAACTTGAAGAAGCGAATATCAGAATATGATTGTCAAAGACGAAGATGAAAGATGATCCTAGGGTAGTTTGTCGACGTTGTGAATAATAAATTACTTTGAAATATGGCCGACTCTCTACAAAAGGGTCAAAGTGTATTGGTTGGAATTACCGCTAACTTCGGTGGGGAAATTAGTGGTAATAACAAAAAGAGGAAAAAGAGGAACTGAAAGGTTGTGTAGTCGAGGAGAAACGTGAGGAGACCCCACACTTTTGAAGAAATTTGTTTTCTTTCAAAAGTGGACTAAATCGCCGGACATGAGGTCTGCTCGCCTTTGCGTCACTCGGAAGGAAGTAATATCCCAGCAAGCCTTTGGTGCACAGGGACACACCAAGTTTACTGCTAGGGAGGGGAGGGAGGTCTGCAACACAAACCACGGGAAGCCGGGTACATAAACATAGGCCCGATTTTTGAAAGTTGAATCATTTCAATTTGTGTCATCTATATCTAAAATTATCTAAATGTCTGATCTGCAAAGGACAGTGCGGCCCATCTTCAGCAGATACGTGCTGTGCTCGTGCTGTGTGCGCTAAAAATCAGTGCAGTGAATTTGTGCTGGTGATATAAAAATAAAAAAAATGTTCAAATGTTCAATGGCGCCTGGCCTGGGCAAGCAAGCTTGAAGAACTCTGTGTTGGCAGCTTCAATAATTGATTCAGGAAGTTCATTCCACTCCTGGGGAAAATGCTTTATTCATATATATCGGTCCTGCAACCAGCATTTACAAATTTTTAAATTTAAAAGTGGGTGGTCATTTCTTGTTTGGCGTTCCTTCTGTTTAAAGTAATTTTGGAATTTCTACTGCCGGGGTGCCAGTCACGATCTTGTACAAGTTTGTTAATTTTGTTTGTTTCCTTCTCTGTTCCAATGATGGCCATTTTAGCTCCTCTAGTAAACTTGTGATGGTACCTGGTGTGCACTGAGTGCACTTCTTAACAAAACGAGCCCGGGGGGAGTACTTTAGGAATTTCTGGGTGGGGATGTACCGCTGGGACCCTGGAACCCTTAATTAACCTATACCAGAGCTAGTTCAGCTGAATTTTGCTACCCTATACTAGAGTAAACTCCCCAAATCCCCCCTACCCTAGAGTAGCTCTTTCCCTAGTCTAGATAAATCTTCAACCAACTGATCAGTTTCCTGAAAGAAGATGATACCCTATTCTAGAGCCAAACGCTCTGATTTAAATACCCTATCCTACAGTAAACTGATTGAAAACCATACCCTTCACAGCGGCACATACCTATATAGCCCATATATGGCAGTCCCCCCCCCCCCCCGGGAAAACAAGCCGCTCTGCGCTGGACTATCTCAATTGATTGAATGTTCTTCTGTGTATGTGGGTCCCACACCGAGCATTCATGCTCCAAGTGGGGTCTAACTAAAGAATAGTACGCCTTATATAGATTTCTTCTCAAGAAGCCGAGGGAAGAGTTCACTTTCCCTGTAATAGCAGAAATATGTTCATTCCATGTTAATTTGCTATATATCTAATTTTACACCCAGATACTTGTGTTGTGTGACTGATGTTATGGGCTGTCCCATTGAAGTATAGTTGTAGTAAACACTTACTGGCATTGAAAGCCATCTGCCATTTCTCTGACCAGACTACCAATTTGTTGAGGTCACTTTGAAGCACCTCGGCACTGCTAATCATGTTGTTACCAACCCCATATAGAACGCTGTCATCTGCAAACAGTCCCAATTCTGAGGTTATTTGAAGACCAATGTCATTGATGTACAGTAAGAACATTAGTGGTCCCAGGACGGTGCCCTGTGGAACTCCTGATGTTACAATCACTGGAGAAGACTGTGTACCATTAACAACAACTGTCTGAGTTCTTCCGGAAAGCCAGGATTCTATCCATTTGATCAGCTGTCCACGGATTCCGTGGACAACGTGCTTTGAAAGTGAGATTCTGAACAAGTGACAACACGTTTTCCCTATATAATTCACATATGTTAAAAGTAGAAAAAATAGGCACTGCATGAAAAAGATACAAGTGTCCAAAACCGGTGAAGTTAGTTATGTTTATATAAAAATTACCAACCACAAGTCCATAAAAAAAACAAAGAGCAAAGCCTAGACTTGAAAACGATCTCCAAGAGCCCCAGTGTGAAATAAGACAGGACTGAAGTTCACGCAGAATTGTTTCTAGCTGAAGAAAATTCTTTGGTGGGACCATTTCAGTGAACCCTTTAGGTCAGTTCTTTCCTATGGAACAGTTTATTTTTCTTGAGAAGAAATTCTGAATTTTTCATGAATGTTTTTAAAAAAGTCAACGGTTATGAAACTGCTAATAAAAGTTTATTTCCGCTCATCGTAAAAATACAGAGCTTCAAGATGTTTCTTTTTTCATCGATTCATGCATTGTTTAAATTCAAAGTAGACTGCTGCCAATTCTCTGAACGTTGTCACGCCTTCTTTCCAAAGAAAGACAGTCGCAAAAGTTTTCGCAAATAGAGTCACCCCAAACAGAAAAAAACAAACGCAAGCTTGGTGAGTCTTTAAAAGGTCGTTCTTTATCAGTTTCTTTGTAATTTTATTTTTGACAAACTGGTAAAAACAACATTAACAACTGAGATCTCTCCTAACAAAGATAATTACATAAAAAAAAAAAACTAAAATAGAGACATCGAACGGAAACATACACTACGATTTTTTCCGATAAGCTTGAACCTGCAAGTGTAGCGGATTTACTGAACATATTAGAAGAAATAACTTATTAACCCTAACCCAATTGCTACTGGATAACGAATTTTGTGCGAATTTATCAAACAATTTGGAGTAAACATAACACTGAATACCAAACCTGATTGCATAACTAGATTTTCTGCTTCTGTAGTGATATACTAGGCAAGCAAAATAATTACTCTGATTTCACGTTACTCGAGTCATGTCGTAAGTAGGTTGAATATCGCCAAGGTGAGTGCAGTTCTGGACGTACTAAGTCCTCGTCTAGTCCCTATACTCGTTATACGGCTTACAGGGGCTTGAAGAGTCTTCTCTTATAAATTTGGGGGTGTTGTGTGCACAATGTTAACGTGGGTGTCCCGTGCAAGCGCGCGTTCGCCCATACACGCAAGGGTTGGCAACTCCATCGGTTTATTTCCTTACGGATGGGGCTCCGCTCACTATATATTCGACGCGTGTGTCAGCTCTACATAAATAAGTTACACAAATAAGTTATGAGTGAGCCTTTTCGATCACTTCCTGGAGTCTACCCTTCTCGACAAGTTCAAAGATTCCTTTGGTGAACTGAACAAACAGTCTTTCCATATAATTGGTTCCTTCAATTCCAGCGCCCTCCACAAAGCCAATGTGACCACCATATGACGTGAGTACCATGGCAACCAGCGGATTCTCGGCTAACGCATCTAGAGGGATCGCTGTTCAATGAGAGCAAAGAGAAAGCAAATTTGTCATTACGATCTTACCTGGATAGTCTACAGTCCCGAATTCACCCCCCCCCCCCCCCCCGGGGGTACTTTAGGAATGTTTAGATGGGGACGAGCCGCTGGGATACCGGACCATTACCTTATTCCATACCTAGTTCAGCTGAATTTTGCCACCCTATACTAGATTAAATTCCACAAATCCCTTCTGATCCTAGAGTCGATATTTTCCACAAAAGAAATTACCGAGGTCGACGCTGTCTTGCTATTAAACTGAGTTGCGGGTAAATTGAGATTTGCCAATTTAATGCTTTTGAGTGTCAGTGAAACGACAATTATAACTGTGAAAAAAGAAGGATAGAAACACTTGTGGCAAATCACATTAACAATCTTCACAGCCTATAACATCATGGCTTAACTGACAGATAACCAATAACATCGCAACTTAATTGACTAATCATGTCAATAAACAGAACTCACTTTGACTGTGGAGATGACTGCCGCACAGGTTGTCGAAACGGGAGTCACTGTCAACAACAGTCCTTTTCGGGACTTAACTTACTCGGACGATGATATTCCAAGGCATTTTCTCTTTCGTGATCATTTTATATATTCTCACAACTTTATCTCTTGACAATGTATGGATATTGTTAGGAGAAAACTGTTGTTGGTCACTATTGGGACTTAAGGGGTGAAATGAACCCTCACTCACCATGCAGAGGGGAAAACGGATCATCAGCGGCATTCAAGCACAGCACAGGTACTCTTATTGTGTGCAGTGGTTTGGTGTGAAGAGTCGCAGCACTGTAGTATTCCTCATAGTTACGATAACCAAATGTTGGAGATGTAAATCTGTCATCAAACTCGCGTATGGTCCTTGACTGCAAATATAACATCATACGGTATGCCTTACTATGTAACTATGTTTATGTTAAACTATACACTGCGAGCAGTCTCCTATTTTTCTCTTGAGATACGGTAGAATGCGAGCACGAGAAACGAGGGCACGCGCGAGTGGCGATCAGCGAAGCTGCGAGAAACGAGGGCGGAGCCCGAGCGAAGAAAAACTAGTTAAACTAAGGCAATCACAAGGGGGATACTCCGGAGTTAAAGTGACGGGGATGATCGAAAAGAGGCAAAAATAACCCCAAAAAATCCCATGCCGAGGGTTAAAATTTTTCAAAAGATGAAAATTGAATGTTTGAATGACACGACATGTAAGTAATTACCAGCATGAAACTTGAATTGAATGAACACAGTACCTTTAATACATGATGGATATCAAATGGCAGATTCCCCAAATGACTTTCAAACACCTCCAGGTTACTAAAAGGAGACATATAAAGCCGTTATTTTTGACCATGCCACACTGTTACCATAACAGCTATTTTTCATTATAATTATTGTGCTGATCATACAATGAACTCTCTCCATGTTGAATACTGGTAGGTACCCTTCGTGCCGCCTTGGGGCCTTCTATAAATAGAGAGTTATACGTTCTATGATCTTCGCTTTCCTCTTTGGATGAAACCTTATGCTGTGAACATTCCAATGCCACCCAATCAATCATCAAATGGTACTATTTATTTCGTATGTTGTCCTAACTTTTGAGTCTGTGGACGAAATCCTATGGTGTGACCATTCAAATGAAACCTCTTCAGCAGCACTTTCACATGGTACTATTTATTTAGTATGTAGTTCTAACTTTTGAGTCTGTGGACGAAATCCTATGGTGTGACCATTCAAATGAAACCTCTTCAGCAGTACTTTCACATGGTACTAATTATTTAGTATGTAGTTCTAACTTTTGAATGAGTGGACGAAATCCTATGGTGTTACCATTCACATGAAACCTCTTTAGTAGTACAGTGAACTCTCTCTAAGACGAACACCTTTGGGACCGGCACTAGCTGTCTGTCTTAGAGAGGTGTCCGTCTTATAGAGAGTCAAATAGAGGGAGGAAAGAAAGGCAGGGACCAACGCTAGGTGTCCGTTTTACAGAGGTGTCCGTCTTATAGAGGTGTCTGTTAAGAGAGAGTTGACTGTACTTTCACATGGTACTATTTTTTTTAGTTTGTAGCTCTAACTTTTGAGTCAGTGAATGAAATCCTGTGGTGTGATCACTTCAAACGTTAACGAAACCTCTTCACCCAACGTGCTTTCCTATTGTACTATTTTTTTTTTAAACAAAATCCTGTGATGTGACCATTTAAAAGAAACTCCTTCTGCAGAAAATTCACATAGACATGTACAGTGGAATGGCCTGCTCTACGGACACCCACTTACTACAGACACTTGTATATAATGGATAGTTTCGCGACACTGAAAAGTCTCAAATTTTCTCTAAAAATAACCAGCTAAATATAGAAACCCGGATAATACGGACACAAAGGCATGTCCCCTTAATGTCAGCATCAAACTTCTCCTTGTAATATCAATGCTCTGTAAAACAGAGTGGTCATGAGAATTACAGACATTATCACACAAGATGAATTTGCTCGATATGTTATCAACTTCTCCCCACTACTTCTGTTTGAAATGAATAGGGGCAACAAATGAGAATGCAAATTTTGATCTTGGGGTTTTAAGGGTTAACCAAGCTCCACACTGTACCTTTTGAAAAAAGAACAGTACCAGTAAGCAGGGGCCAATGCTTGATGTCTGTTTTAGCAAGGTGTCCACCTTATAGAGGTCTCTTATAGAGGTATTTATCTTTAGAGAGTTGTCTGTTGAGTGAGAATGGACACATGGTTTAGCCAGAAGGGTGTGCAGGTATCCTGCAGGAGCCCCGGTTTTAGATAAGATTCAAGGAAAATTCCCTTAATCTCTTATAATTTGGCTTCCGACATGGAAAAAGAGGCCACCTAAATGTTCAGTTTTCAGCGTCTGGCTAAACAGAGACCTTTAGATTCGAGGATAAGAAGGACTAAGAGTACGAGATTTGATTTAAAGTTTTTTCGCGTATTGTCAAAAAATACGCACCCCGGAATTCTTCATTGTACTTTTTTCACCGGAAAAGTTAGCACTGTTATCGATATTGAAGGAGGCTGAGACCTCTCCCAATTCCAAAATGCTAAAACTTCTAACATTTGATAACTCACCACTACGGCTAAAACGTCGCTGAAAAAGTGAATTCGCGTTCTTTCAATCTTCATCGCGATTACTCCAAGTCACTAACTTTGTCAAATGTAGGCGAACCCTCCTAAAGTTGAATTCCTAAGAACCATATTCAAGTTCAGAAAGAGAGAGGAAATTTCGACGTCGCTTGTGTATTTCCTCTGTACATCGTGAAATTAGGCATTTTCACGTCGTAGTCGTGCAGTGACCGCAAAGAAATGTACAAAAAAGCGTGATGCGCGTGCAAAATTGTGGTTTTGCTAATTAAACTTTTTGCTTTTGTGGTGTTCCCGTTGCCGTCTCCGTCGTCGGATCTTAAGGTCCCTAATAATGACGCTGCCTTACGCACGAAAAGAAAATCTCATACTCGTAGTCGTTCTCGTCTTAGAATCTAAAGGTCTTTAACGTATGAGTAGCTGAGTACCTCTGTATCATCTGCACCAGGTTCCTGGTCAGGTGCTGATTAAAAAGAAAGCTGTTGATTGGTTGTTCCAGTGACTCACAGGACTCCATACAGTTCCACGGAGGAGAAACAGCCATGACTCCAACAAGACCTGAACTCTCACAGTCACCCACTTCATTTAAATAATTCATAAGGATCATCCTGTAAAAACAAAACGTGAGTCTTCAAAAAATTTCTTAACGCTTACGTCCAAAGACAGGCCGAAATTAATTTTCTCCTTAAGATATCAACCAATAATCAAGAAAAAACTAACAAGAATTAATAACGTGATCACCTAAAAGAAAACGCTTTGATCTCTAAGCAAATTCTTCCTACTAATCTTAAAAGAAATGCAAGAAAATCGGCCTGAAGAATTTAAAAGTGGATATAATGGCCTAAATGGTTAACAACTTCAGTACTAACAGTGAGTCTAGAAATGGGAGTAGCCTGGGATTTGAAATTTTCTTGCGTATTGTCTTCATCAATCTTTCTTTAGCACAGTCAAATTAGGATTAGCACAGTGGTAAGAGTGTGGCCTTCTCTGAGGGGAGGGGGGGAAGGGTCCAGAGTTTGATTGACTTCCTAGTTAGACCTCAAACTTTTGTTTCAGCTTCTCCCTTTCTGTGCAACATTAAGTAGCTTTTTATACCTTTAAAATGGAGCACTAATGGAGAGAGGGGGTAAAATGAGTGCATCGTCGACCTCAGGTTTCTCAGTTTTAAAGTACTATTACAAGTTAACCCTTTAAGTCTCAATTATAGTGACCAACATCAATTTTCTCCTAACAATATCCATACATTGTTAAGAGAAATGGTTATGAGAATTAGTGAAATGATCACCTGAGAAAAATGCTTTGATCTTTTATCAAATTCTCTCAACTAGTCTTCAAGGAAATGTAAGGAGTCCAATCTGGAGAATTTGAATAATGATATTGGAGCTTAAAGGGTTAGCGAAATAAAATAAGGACCTTTACCTATTACTATTACTTACTAATTTGGGGATGAAAAAAAACAACAACAACGAAGACGACTTTATTGGAAACCAAAACATTTAAAAATGCATTTCAAAGTATCACTGCAATAGAAAAGGGCCCTACCAGCCGTTCGAAAATAGTACGGGACATTTTCCCAGTTGGCTCACACAGTGCCTTATATGCCAGCATCCAAGCTTAGAGTAGATAGAGCAATGCCTAATTTACTGTATTTGTGAGAACAAAGCCCCAAGTGACTTTTTATACTAAGGCTTGATTCTCCTACCAACTAGCCTTGAATATGCTTGAGAATCAAAGGGAGAATTTGATTTTATATCAGAAGTCACTTAGGGTCTTACTGGTGTTCCATTGACCACTCAAATAATAGAATGTAAAGACGAAACAAAATATTGTTTTCCTATCATCCATAGCTTTAGTTGTTTCAATCAAATACAGTCAAACCTCCATGCGTGACCACGTCTTCTTGTAAGCAAACACCTCCCATAAGTCACCACTTATCCAAAACACCAAGATTTTCCAAGTCAAAGCCTTATAGTAGTTGAAACCCCTCGTAAACAACCGTCTCTCGTAAGCCACACAGGCCACTTTTTCAGATGGCGGTTTTATAATTTTCCGTTGTTCTTTACCTTTTCTAATCGACCACCTGATAGAATGGTCTGATCTGTGTGTTCACTGTATGTACAACACTACTCAGAGTATGAAAAGAACTTCTAGAAACAACATGGATTTAGTTATTGTGGGTGACAAGAGGAGCCCCCAATCCTGATCTCCAGGTTGTTATTACATTTACTTGGACTTCCACTAAAAATGAATGGAATGCACAGAACGCCATATGAACACACGCGTTTGGAGCTTCTATCACCCGTAATCTGATCACACGCATTTTGGCTATCTGTCATGTAAAACTTATGAAAAGCACAGCTCTGGAGCAAAAGCGTTTTGACCTTCAATCATTGTCACCCGCAATCAATAACCTTTAATTTGTTATTACTAGTATTATAACCTAAAAATCGCATACAATACATTCTCTCCAAAAAAGGCGTTGGGTTCGGACTTCTTGTAGGAAGAGACCCCCTATGGTTTGATTCTCGTAAGCATAACCTTCTATAAGCGGCCACTAACTCTTCGCATTTTGGGTGGTTGCTTACAGGAGGTTTGACTGTAATGGGGAATGCCTTACCCTCCCATAGAAATTCCCATGCCAAATATTGGTGATCCTGGGTAGATTCTGTGAATGTGCGATAGAACAAACTTGAGGTCTTCAGTATTGGCTGCACAGAAGGTCCTTGGAGTCTGAAATTAAAGGTAGGCATAAATTTTACTACAATGCACTTTATCACCATCATCCACAAGGAAAGGTTCGACCTGACTCACATTAAAAGTGATTGAAACACTTGTGTAGCCACTAACAGGCCTTTGAATTATATTTACCTTTAACTGGGAGGCTCCAAATCCTCTATGATTAGCAACAATTGTCCTGTTATGTAAAATAGAGGTAATGAAAAAATATCTTTGTTAATGTTTAAGGTCAAAATTAAATTCAGGTTTAAATTATCGATTAAACCTAGGTTGATTCTCAATTTCCTTTGTCTCCTAGCCAGGGCTTCTGATATTTCGCGCGGTCGCGGACCCGTGAAATTCAGGTATTTCCGCGAAATCCCGCGAAATTCCCAAAAAAACACAAAATACCGCGAAATCCGCCAGAATATTTCCAAATACATGTCGGCAAAACATATTTAATACTTATCTTGGCTCTTAGACCTGTTCTATTCACCCCAAACGTCCAAATTTATCTTGAAACTTCGTCACTGCAACGAATAAACAACGTGTCAAAACTACCAGGCGTCTTAGATGAACGTTGCGAAAAACTGGGCACTAACCATAATGTTAACAGCTTTAGCGTTCGCTCATTTCTCGAGCGAACTGTTGTTGAAAGAGCAAATGATTATCCCTGTTAAAAAACGTTAAACAATGCTGGTCATATCGACGCAAAATTGATCGATTTTAGCGAAATTTGCCAAAAAAATCCATCGAAATTGGCTGTTTTTTACTGATTGTTTCTTGGCGAAGTTTCCCCCCAAAATTTCCCATGAAATCGGCCGATTTTTCTAAGAATTTGCCCCGAAAATCCTTCGAAAGTTGACTTTTTCCCACTAAAATCCCGCGAAATCGGCCGATTTTTGAGCGAATTTTGACTTTTCTCCCACGAAATCAGCCGATTTTTGAGCGAATTTTGACTTTTTCCCCGCGAAAATCCCGCGAAATCGGCCGATTTTTCCGCGAATTTGCCCCTGAAAATCCCGCGAAATTTTGCTTTTTTTTCCGCGAAATATCAGAAGCCCTGCCTAGCCCTAATTTCATGAATAATTCAGGCTAGGAGACTGAAAGGATATAGTGAATAACAGGTGAAAAAAATTTTAACCTGAATTTAATTTTGACCTGTAACATTTAGATTTAAGGAGCAGGGTAGAGGTATCCTCTATCAACAGGAGAAGTAAGGCAATTCCTTCCCTCCACTAGCTCACAGGTCACCTATGGGCAGGGTGGAGTATCAGGTCTGCCGGCACCAGGGTTGGTGAGGTCATGGGAGCGGGTGATACATATTTTTGAAGAAGCACCTGATGCTATAACTTACAGTGTTGACTCTCAAGATTGGAGCCAGGCATAGGATCCCCCTACTTTGGAAACTGGCTGGGGCCAGGCTGGGGGAAAGACTCAACCCTACTTCCTGAGACAATTTTATCCCAACAATCCAAGACCAAACAATGGAAACATGAGAAAGCATGCAAGGACAGAAACTATTTCTGCTGTGAGGTCGAGGAGGCAATGTCCTATGGGGATAACTAGGACTGAGTAGTAGTAGTAACATTTACATATTAAGCAAGATATTGACTAGTAATGCACGCACAAGAGGTTTTTGTAACAACAAGTCTCATTTTTGGTGGCTTTTGCTTGTCCTTATGCTCATGTCAAGCAGGAACCAGTCAATGATCTGTCAACAGCTGTAAAAATGACCAAAGGGTTACTCCGTTTCTGGGCTAACGGAGGGTTTGTCAGGGCTTCTGATATTTCGCGAAAAAAAAAGCAAAATTTCGCGGGATTTTCAGGGGCAAATTCGCGGAAAATCGGCCGATTTCGCGGGATTTTCCCGGGAAAAAAGTCAAAATTCGCTCAAAAATTGGCCGATTTCGCGGGATTTTCGCGGGAGAAAAGTCAAAATTTGCAGGAAAATCAGCCGATTTCGCGGGAAATTTCGGGGGAAAATTCGCCAAGAAACAATCAGTAAAAAACAGCCGATTTCGCTGAATTTTTTTGGCAAATTTTGCTAAAATCAATCAATTTTGCGTCGATATGACCAGCATTTGTTGAACGTTTTTTTAACAGGGATAATCATTTGCTCTTTCAACAACAGTTCGCTCGAGAAATGACCGAACGCTAAAGCTGTTAACGTTATGGTTAGTGCCCAGTTTTTCGCAACGTTCATCTAAGAACGCCTGGAAGTTTTGAGACGTTGTTTACTCATTGCAGTGACGAAGTTTCAAGATAAATTTGGACGTTTGGGGTGAATAGAACAGGTCTAATAGCCCAGATAAGTATTAAATATGTTTTGCCGACATGTATTTGGAAATATTTCTGGCGGATTTCGCGGTATTTCGTGTTTTTTTGGGAATTTCGCGGGATTTCGCGGAAATACCTGAATTTCGAGGGTCTGCAACCGCGCGAAATATCAGAAGCCCTGGTTTGTTTACTACAAAAGAGAGTCCACAGTCCGTCTTTTATCGTCTCGTCCCAATCCATAACGTAGTGGCTTTGCAATCCCACAGGCTGAGATAAGAAGACGGATTGTAAGAGAAAAGGTGGACTGCAAGCAGTCTAAAACCCACTATGAATGGGATCAACATAAGCATTAGAACAAGAAAAACAGAGGGTTTTATACTTCTATGTGTCCCAGCTCTCCTTACTGGACAAGTTCAGCATTCTAACCCACCTCACTCCTAACTTTTCACCCAGTACCACCAAATGACGGCTATAGCTTGTCTCACTTCCACCTAAAATAATAATGGTTTGAACAAGATAAATGACACATTTTCAATATCATTCACCATTCATTTAGTTCTTAGTTAAGTTAAAAAGGCTTCATACAAAAAATTGCAACCATTTTTCAGAGACTTTTCAAGGACCACATTAGATTTCCAAGGACTACCTACTAGGAATAAAATTTCACAGATTGTACAAAAATGCACATACCTAATCTATTCTAATAAGACTTTAAAGCATGAACTGTTTCCTTCACCAACTTCTCTACAATTTTCAAATTGATAGTTAATTATTGCATGAAACATAGAGCACTTTGTGTAAAGAACCTTTAAATACTCTGAGCTTTGATTTATATTCTGTCTTGGACAATCAAAAAGCATCAAAAAACTCTTTCCAGGCCACTACATTCAACGTTGAAGAAAATTCAAGGACTTTTCAAGACTGCCCGAACCCAGTATGTGGTTAAAACCTCTAGTGTAGCACTTAAATCTCTTATAAACAAACAGCCTAAAATATATGTATTTATAACACCAACTTCCTCTAACTGAAAGGTATATGTGTAAGAGATTTTTGAAGGCCATCAAAAGGAATTTGAATACTGATATTAGCATCTTGGAATTAGTTACTAACCAGTGAGTCCAGGAAGTATTAATACAGTAGGTCTTGTTGCAGCATCGTTATAAACAGTGCTGTCATCATTGTCAAACCAGTCCAAGCAAACAATCCCTTTGTCTGGTGTTTCCAAAGTCTCCCTTAAGTAACAAAAATGTGACACATAGCATCAACGTTCATTGTCATAAAAATTCATGATCAGATCGTGCACATCACCACTACAGTCATTGTTACTACCATCATTGTTGTCACTGCTATTATTAGATTTTCAAAAAGTCCTTAAATTTTAACCCTGGTTGGTTATGGTATTCTGAAGGACTTTTCATACCTGTTTGGTGCGAAATTCACCAATCAAAAATTCCAGGGGTGACGTCATGACAATTGACTAATATAGGAGACTAAGAGTTTTAGCATGATGTAACCCGAGGAGCCCTAGGAAAAAGCCCACATTTTCTTTTCCCATGTAAAATAACATGATTCTTTTTATGGAGGGACATTTCAAACACATGCCAGAACCCTTTGAACAAATAGTAATAGTTTGCAAATGGATCTTGAAACTGTAGCTTCTGATCGCTTTTTATCCTCCAGTAGATAATAAATATAAGAAAAAATGAACTCTTAGACCAAAAGTCGATAGAAATCGATAATCACTTGACAGTTTGTGATCAACTCTTATTGATTACGATATTTGTCAATTGATGAGTATCGATTTTTATCAACAACAATCGGTTTCTATCGGTTATCGGAATTATTACATGTGACGTTCTGGAAAAAAGGGTGAATGATCGCCACTCACACTATGGCGGTCGTTACGAGCACATTTGAACGGTAACTAGGGCTCAAGAAGAATTATTATTAACTTCCTAAGGAAAAAACAGTGAAAAAATACCTTCTAAAGGGAACTGAAGGTTTGGACCTGATCACCGCTCGAATTACCGTTT